GAGCCGCGTGTTCTCGCTGGGTGCGCAGGATCACGGCCACCATCAATAAGCTGTTTGAGAGGGATTTAGGAATGTCGCTGCCAGGGCTTAGTGTGGAGAGGAAAAAAAAAAAAGGCTCTTTGCTGGCAGTAGATGTGGATAGTGGGGAGAAATTTGCCATCTCTGGAGTTCCGGTGCAGCATCCCCGCTGTCCGCTGCCAGGCGTGGATTAGGTGGATGCAGAGCAGTAATCCTACCTAATTTTCAAAACAAGCCCTTAGGGATGAAGAAGTAAATCTCGTTGTGGGCTGCTGACCCGATTAACACAAAATGCAGCAGGATGAGGCGGTCGGCGGTTCAAGCAGACCCGCTGCCGGGGGTTCCCGCCGGCGGGTGACGCGAAGCCCGAGGGCGGCGGCGGGCGGGCCCCGGCCGTGCGGCGTCCTTCGGGCTGCCCGGCTCGGCCGCCCTTCGGGAAACATAAAGCTGGCCTAGGCTTTGGGTTCAGGTGTGGCTGAAAGGAGATGGTGCGCTCTGGGATGTTTCCTAGCCCTTTCAGCGGTGATGCGGTCTCTGTGGGTAGCCGTGCTCCAGGTGCCACCTCTTCTGGCGTTTCTTTTTGTGCCCGAGGCCGCTTCTTGTGTTCGTTAGCTGTCGGGACAGGCGTGGGTCTGTCCTGAGCCCCTGGGACCGGCCCCTTGAGGAGAAGGGAAAGGGGGGAGCGCAGAAAAACACCCGGCCTGACTTTCACCGTGTGCCAGGGGATGTAAGCCCTCACAGAAACCAACCCCTAACTTTAGGAACGACCGAAACAATCTGCTGGGCATTTATGAGGTGCTGTAGCCTGCTCACTACCGAGAGAATTAAATCCACAGATCCTTAAAACGGTTTCATTGTTTTAAAAATTTATTTTTCAGTTTATGAACAGAAATGTCTGCAATTACTGACAAAACCACGGATAGTAACACAGGAGTGTGCTTGCACATGTTTTAAAACAGAAGCTTAAGACTGAATGAAGAAGGTTTAATTCTTAAATGCACACTCGTCTGTTACACTAAAGAGAGACCCTAGAACTTACAACTTTACTTGTAATTAATTTTTCACTGAAAAGTACAATTTTATAAAAAACCTCACTTATTTGCACTTACTTAAATTATGCTTATTAATACAGACCGACAACGTAGATAGCTCTTAACAAATTAAGTTGTTTAGTGAAAATAAAAAATTAAAAATAAGTCAGCACTGTTGTAAAATGGAGTCATGGTCTGAAAACCTCCAAAGTAAGAAACAGTTGAATTATTTGTGCTTCGCATAGACTTTATGACTGAATCGCCAGGTCAGATTGCTAATGCGATTGTTGAAAACTACTACAGTGGTTTAGAAAAATGAGTAGGTTGAAGCTGTTGCCTGTGCTGTTTCACTTTCCTGAGGTGGCAACAGTCCCTAGTTTGTGACGGAGGTGGGCACCTCTGGATTTGGTTCCTGCTTTGGTCAAGTTGTCCATTTCTAAGCTTTTGCTCACAAGTTAGGCAAACCATTTTTCTATCAAAGTTATGATGTGCTAATAAAGTTAGGTTAAATTGCACTTACTAATTTTGTAAAAGAATACTTAACATTTGCCTTTCTAAGAGGAAAAAGTATGTTTTGTATTTCATCATTTGTACGGCAGTGCATGATAATTCTTGACACTTTTTAAAATGTCCTTTATCTTAAATGGAGAAAATGAGGAAAATTTAGGCCTCAACACTTCTATGCTGCTATTCTGCTTTTCTTTTTTCTTGCTGCTAATTGGATTAAAAGCCGTTTTGGTTCCTATGGCATCCCGTGAGGAGATTACTGTCTGTGAAGATGAAGTAAGGTAAAAAATCAGAACTGTGGTACGAGCAGATCTGGAAAGATATCCACAGTTCCAGGGGTCACTTATGACTGTATCTAAACTTTAAAAATTACTTAAATGAAAGAATATCTTGCCAGATCTCCTCCCCTGTATGTGTGTGCAGAGTTGCCTTTCTGAATGATGTAGGTAATGTTTATGAGAAAGATTACAGAAAAATCTGTTAAAATACATAATAGCTAAACTGGTCATCCTGACTATTTTTCAAGTGTAAAAGGCTAAAACACTTTATTGGAGACCAATGAAAATACTGTCTTTTAACACCTGCTAAGACATCGTGCAACTGTCCAGGAGCATCTGAATTCTCAGTATAATTCTGTAACCTTACTGTCACCCGAAATGGAAGTTTTAGAGGTTAGATGGATATATATGTCTTTGTATGGTGTTTGTCAAAGTGAGTCTTTTTAACTGTCTGTTTCTATTTTGTGATACTTTGTCATATTTGAATGTTTGAAAAACATGAAAATATAAGCAGTTCTGTTAGCTTATTCTTTCAAGTCTCATTTTTCATTTGTAAAAAGTGGCTTGCCCTGAAGCAGTAAAGCTTTGAACGATAGACATCAGTAACTGAACTCTTTCAACAACAATTAATTTACTTTGTTGGTGTTTCCATAGGTCTCGGTACAGCCACTTAGAGAAGATGACAGATTTGGTGGCTGTTTGGGAAGTAGCTTTAAGTGATGGTGTTCATAAGATTGAATTTGAACATGGGACCACTTCAGGAAAACGTGTTGTCTATGTTGATGGAAAGGTGAAATTGCTATGTGCTCAAAATTCACTGTGATACAGATTATATAAGTGCACTTTCATGCAACAGGCATCAGAACAACCAAAAGACTAATAAATGCAAGCGAGGGATAATCGGTTGATTAACTTTACCTGATTTAATGAACTGCATCATTCTTTTTTTCAGTTACAACTAAGGTAATGAAGTGCTTTGCAAATACCAGGTTTTCGTTCATTCTGAAATAATAGTTAAGCACAGCTGTTTCCCGAGTTCCAGGTCATTTTTTTTTATACTGAAACATGCATTCAGGTTTATCAACTAATACCCATTGTCTTTGTTTTATTCCACAGGAAGAAATAAGAAAAGAATGGATGTTTAAATTAGTGGGTAAAGAAACATTCACTGTTGGAGCAGCCAAAACAAAAGCTACTATTAACATTGATGCAGTCAGTGGCTTTGCGTATGAATACACTTTGGAGATCAATGGCAAGAGCCTCAAGAAGTATATGGAGAACAGGTCAAAAACAACCAATACTTGGGTACTGAGCTTGGGTGGTACGGATTATAGGGTCGTTCTAGGTAAGTAAACGTTGAGTGGCTTCACACTGCTGCCTTTGAATAAACTCGTATGCGCTTAATACCTGCTAATTAAGAGAAAGCACAGTTCAGTGGCTAGCACTGCTGCGGTGTAAAATCCTGGGTGTCTGGAAGTTTGGAATTAGATGCCAAAGAGTCTGAAAAATAATGGTCTTGTTACACCTGCATGAGCCTGCCTTCAGTGTTCTGTTCTACAGCAGTGTGGTTGAGGTTTAAAAAAAGGAAAAAAAAGAAGATTGGAAGGAGTTATGGCTTCTGTATCCATAGAGCTGCCCTAGCTAGACAGTTCCCAGTGAAGCATGTTATAGAAGTGTTATCTGCGTTGTGATCAAACCCGCTGCGTGTGTAAGTGTATTCGCCAGGTAACCAGGCTGTCCTTCCAAAAATCAAAGGCCAAAGTCAAGGAGTCTCTAAGTGAAGAAGTGTGACAGTGTTGGTCTACCTCTTTGATAGATTAATCAGCATCCTTTTTTCTGCATCGCTTCTTAACTAGAAATTTTAATCTAAAAACTTCAGATGATGTTTTTCGACTTTTTTAATAGCAAAGCAATGCGTTTCTTTTCTTCTGCCCCCCTTTCCCAAGCAGATGGGAGGAAGGGATCCCCTGAGGAATTTGTCCCTGCCATCCAGTGGGAAAATGCCCATTTAGGTATTGCTGTATGGTGAGACCTGGAGACAAGAGATCTTGGGCTATGATTTCTTCTTAAGCCTCAGGACAGAATGGACTGCCCTAAGATGAAGGGGGGTGGGGTGGGGTGGGGTGGGGAAGAAAGACAATTTTAATGCCAGAAACAGGTTAGTCTCCCCACAGACTTTTAATCTCTCTATGCTTACTTAAAAGGCAAGCAGTGTTCAGCTCTCTGCTGCTGTCCTGTGGATGACAGTGTTGGTAATGTGAGTTCTAGAGCAAAGTAATTCAAGAAGGATGTGCTGGGAGAAGTAAAAGAATATTCTGTTTCAAATGAAAATAATCTAAGATTGATATTTAAAGTAGTACTTGGGTTTTCAAGGACATTTCAATAATACAGTTTGATGGATGTTAAATAATGCTGCTTTTGGATTAAACCGACCTGCAAAAAACGTTAGAGCTTCACTGAATGAACAGCACTCAAATAATTAGCAGAAATTACTTCATTTTTCTGTCTTCAAGTTTTTCAGTTTAAGAATGTCAAAATATCTCTGACAATATTCAGAACACCACAGTGTTAATAGCCAGGGCTAGGGAGAGGTAAAAATGTATGTTCATAGCAAAAGTTGTTTGCCCATTGATGGCAGATCCTTCCCATCTCTCCAGTCTAAGAACAAACCCTGTAGCCCAGGTACTATGGGTAATTAGGAACTTCTTTGGGGAACTGAAAGTAAAATTCAACAGTAAATTGTCAACATTCTTAGATCTTTTTGTCTGTAGGGAGAAACAAATGTCTTGTTCTTTCTACTTTTTGCTTTCTTTTTCCTTCACAGAAAAGGACACTATGGATGTGTGGTGCAACGGTCAAAAAATGGAAACAGCGGTATGTGATCATTGCCAAAGGTTTTTCACAGGCTATGGCTACATAACCGAAGCTCAGCAAAATAAGCCACAGAGGGACGTGTTACCACACGTTACCACAGAGTATGAGCACGTGCCTAGCCAGCCACATGCCCGTAGCCTGTTCCCAGTGCCCTTCAACTGCATTTTATAACCGAGAGTCTTTCAGTTAGGATGCCAAACACCTATCTGTTTAAGGATAAACACACTTCTTAGACAAGCAAAATAAATCTCCTGGGTCGGTTGTCCAGGGTTTTTAGGGTGAAGACTTTCAGGGGAGTGGGAGGGACTTGAGTTTGATGCAGAGTGTAGAGCCACCTCATCCATACCTGCTCGTGTTCGTGGTGACTGAAGGTTGAACATGTGGAGTCTGTCATGACTCCTGATGTTTTTCCATCTAGAGATGGTCCCTAACACTTTGGGCTTAAGTCTTGTTGGAACACATCAAATCTTTTGTCTTTCTGCCCCATCTGCATTAATTTTAAGAGCAGGCTGACAGAAGGCTTAAGCTATTTGGTGTCTCCTTACATTACGATGGCTTTCAATATGCATATGATGTAGGCTTCCCCATCCCTGAAGGATTTCTTACCAGGGAGTTGTCACTGTGATTACTACTGCCACAAGTAATCCCCTGGATGACTACAAATTGTAAAACCAAGAGTTTTGCTGTATTTGAGAATAGGATGAAAAGATTCACCAAATGTGTCTTCAGTAATCAGTGGAAGAAACATGCTCATGAATTGGAACTTCTGCCCTTGATGGTTCTCAGCCTTTTCTACAATGTAATAGAGGCAGTGGGAGATATTCTTGCAGGCTGCGACTACAGGTGTAGCTGTCAAACTGTGCTGGCATTAGAGTGGCACACAGATCCTTCTGCTCTCCCAAAGATGATGCCAAAAACACAGCCCCGTGGGGCAAAATCCGTTAGCAGGAAGTTACGTAACCACAGCTGGAGCTGCGTATCAAAAACCCACAAGTGTCACGCTCAGTTCAGGGATCTCTTTGTCCTGCTGTAGAAGGCACCACTAAACACTTCACCTTTTACTGCCACTTCAGCATAGTTGGTGTGGCACTTACTGGCTGTACTGCACAACCCTGAAGGAAACTGTCTTTTCTGGGTTTGTTTTACTGACAGACATCAATTTGCAAACTCCAACGTTACCACTTCTGATTATGTGAAATTTTGATTGACATCTTATACCCACAAATCTTTAACTGCACACCTTGACAAAGCCCTGTCTGAGATTCTGTGGCTTTGCTCAGCATTTGTGCTGTATTTGGCACAGGTACCTACGGCTGCTCTAATTGTGGGGACTACAAGTGATCTTGGAAACAGCCTGATGCGCTCAAGCCTTTATTTTACTAAAACAGCACCTGTCTGTGTGTGTTCTTCTCTCCTTTCTCCCAGGGTGAATTTGTAGATGATGGGACTGAAACTCACTTCAGTGTTGGTGATCACAGCTGTTGCATTAAGGCTGTCAGTAGTGGAAAACGAAGGGAAGGAATTATTCATACCCTTATCGTGGATGACAGAGAAATCCCAGAGGCTGTGGAGTAGCCTCTAGTTAACTGATTACTGTAGGACTAAGATCAGGAATTTTCAATTACTGTGGTAATTATTTTTATATGTACTACTTGGTACATCTAGTTTGTGCTGGGTTTATTTTCTAGTTTCTGTATATGAAATTATTCTTTTTGAGGACCAGAGGAAAATAATTATATATAACCTCTTACATGACCAGTTTTTAAATATATGTATATATATAGAATATATATTATATCATTAAGTGCAGAGAACACTGGTAGAAATTAGATGCTAGAAAAAAATCTTACTGTAATAAAATGGAAGATAAATATTCACTAAGACTGAATCCTTATAAATTCTGAGGGTGTGTAGAGGGAGGAGGAAGCATATGCTGGGCATTTTAATAAGTTGTTGAAGTCTTCTCAGTAATTATTTTCTCTTAAATTGACTACCAGTTTCTCATATCCAGTGAGATACAAAGTTAATTAAAAAATTGTTAAAGAAATACATTGTTACCAGTACTTGTGTTAAAATAATACTGCGCTATGAAAACTGTTCTTTATTCCGAGTAGGAGAAAAGATGTTACAAAAAGATGTAACCCAAATTCCTGAAGGTTTTCTGAAAACTGATGATGCTTAGAAATTCTTGCCGTAGTTCAGAAACTCTGTACTGAGTTTTTTCAAAAAAGGAAACAGGAAAAAAAATAATTCCTGTCATGAAACTCCTTTAAAAAACAAAACCTCTTGACGCAAGCTGAAAGAGCTTATTCTCGTCCAGTGCTGTCTAGCAAACCTTCTATCTAGAGCTGTGTGTTTTCCTGCCAGTAATGTGTGAATCAAGAAACATGAGGAAAAATGGGACTGAAATAAAGGAAAAGAATTGGTTGTTAAAATGGAAAAGTTAAGATGGGAACAGACTAATTCTGGTTTCAAACTTCCACCATACTATCTAAAAGCAACCTCGTGATTTCAGCGAGAACAAGACTTTTATCTGTTAGGTGGTTCTTACAAGTTCATGGAGGGGGTTTGTCCATTTAAAGTCATACTGGAGCACACCAGGCTCACACACTACCAAAGCTGACCTTTTGCAACAATGTAGACACAGCTAATCTTAAAAAAAAAAAAAAATAAAATAAAAAAAACCCCAAACCCACAAACAAAGTATGAATATATTCATTTAAAATTTTGTTTTGCAATAGTTACAAAAATTTTTCCACTTGCACCCTCACTTAGAGTTCAGAATTAGACTTTTATAACTTCATTTTTCTTGAATTTGTGAGTGGTTCAGTGTTCCTAGCACTATGACTGCTGTCTCGGGAGCTGCAGGTGCAGTACAAATGTGCTGGGAATTACTTAACAAATTATTTTGAAAAGTTTTATTAAATGCTAATTTCACCTGTGGTTTAGGGTTCACGCTGCTCTCCATTAGCACAGTGCTTTACATGTGGATATAATGCTTGTCATATGACAACATTGTGGGTTTCTAATAATTTTACGTGAGCCCTTCTCCCCAGATAATTACAGCTTTAAGTGTAGGTGACTTGTCAAGCTAGAGACAGACCCGATTCCGATAGATGAGCCTTTATTTCTGTATTGCAGTGCTGTTACCAGCCGTTCTGGTGTTTAGTTAGGGCCACAACTGGCGGATTTAAGTGCTTCAGATTGGATAAATCTGGTAGAAGCTTTTTGTTTGGGGCAAAAGACTTGTTTTAAAGCCTGCTAACATCATCGTTTCAGGCTTTAGTACAGAAAGTTTAGAAGAACCTTAGGGCTGGGATGAATCCCCTTTTACATTGAAATGAGTATAACAGCTCTTAGGCTTTTCGCTTCAGTGGCTTCATGTCACTACAGAAGCAACGTGGGGATACCTAGCTACAAGGTTGTCACTGTAATCTTTAAAAGATACTGGTTAAGGTACATTAATTAAAGAGCAATTTCAAGCTATATCTTAAACCAGTTCTCTACTATTTCGTAGCTTTTCAAAGAGACTGAACACCCCTGAAATCTGAAACTCAAATACAGTCCAAGTCGCGTCCTTAAGACTAGATGGAAAAATAACAGGTTAGGTGATGGTGTCATTCATACTTTTTATTCTGAATACATGTATCTACAATGCTTAGAGTATCTTAACTAATAAGAACTGTAACAAACAGCAACTACTGTTAGAAATTGTGAAGTATTGCCTGACATTTGTCATAACTATGTGATTTAATGGCATGTCCCCTAAGTGGGAAACAGCTTTCACCTGATAAATATTCTTTTGACTTATTAAGTGAATGTAAGAGTCAAAGGCACAACCAAGATTTCTTGGGTTTCACTAACATACGTGGTAACTCAGATTAAGAAAATGTAATGAAAGAAAGACAACCTATGCAAACACAAGCGTATGGTCAGACCACTTTAAGGCATAAAGTAAACGATGCAGTAAATGTTGCACTGTATTTTGTGATGCTTTCCCTCTGTTCCCTTTCACAGATAATTTTGTTCTTACTTTTTTCGTTCATGGATATTTCAGAGCGCTTTGCAGGAGGCACTTTGGTGTGTTACTAGATAGAGCATCCTCCTAAAATCTAAGTACTGTACTAGCTACAGTTCCGATTAATTCTTACTCTGGATGCTGCTGGTTTCCTCAGACAGCCATGTACTTCTCCCTTACTTGGGAACAAGTCAACAAATATTGTGGAAGGGCCCCAGCACTGTTGCAAATGACAAAGGTGTCAGGATTGTTTACATCATCTACTAAGCTGTCATATGCCTCAGTGGCATCCCCCTCCACTGCTGGTGGCATAATGTAAGACGGCTTGCCCTTTGTGTATAAGCCTGTTAATACATCGGCCTCAAACACGTACATCTTAGAGTCTGTTTCCCACATATCTTTACCCTCGATTAGGCTTTTCGGGTTCCTTTTAAAGTAGATGCCAGCTCCGTATCTTTGTTCTGGAAAAAGAGAGAAAAAAATTCAGAAGAAAAAAAAGCCTTTAACAATTGGTTCTGTTGGGGTGGTAGTACTAAGAGACTGCTTCTTGATTATGACCTTTTATGCTACTGCTCAACGCGGGCCATCCTTTTGGAAGTCAGTTTGCATTGAGTGGCTCTGGTGCTGGCACTGACCTCCCACCGCAGTCACCGGCAGTGACAGCTGAAGGCCATGCCCATTTAACTGCTGCTGCAGCGATGACCCTTTGGATGGAACTGTTAATCCAGCGATAGAAATATCAAGGTATAATGTATTTATGTAAACACTTCAGTCACCATGTACTAGGGACCCTGATGAGCACCAAAGAAGGTAAGATTTTAATAATGCAAACTATAAAAAAAAAAGCCTTGAGATTTATAAGAATGCTGCATAAAAATGCTATCACAGTATCGCGTGGAAAAGTGCAAAGAAATTAAATTAGACCATCGTCCCGTTCACTACTTTGAAAGTGCAAAAGTGTGCCATGTACAAGGAAAGGCCAATTCCACTTTTGAGCAGTTTATGGCCTGAAATCCCGATTCTGTGTTTGACAAGCAAAATTGTCACCTGTTGCAGGATGACGCGCTAAATGCTCTCTCTTTCCTTCTCTGAAAACGTCTGGCTGCTACAGGATTTCATAGACCCCACAACTTTCTTGCCAAGCGTACTCCAGTCTCGATGGCAGTCTGCTCAGCCAGGTTAGCGGCTGTCTGATCGCACCCGAGGTGAGCGGGGTGAGGCTGGATCTCCTTCAGAAGTACCTTCCAGCCTCAATTATTCTGCGATTCCTTTGAACATGTTTTAAGGCATCAAGCTGCTGAGTGCACGTTTGCAGCAAGTAAACAAGGACATGGACCTTCTTTAGAGTGACACAACAAAATAAAACTTGGACATGGCACTATGTGTCTGTTAGCAATTCTGTCACCAGTGCCTGGGCCAGGCTAGAATCCAGGCTTGCCCTCCCAGAGCCTTACTGACTGCATTGTCAGGAAGGAAAAACAGAAATATCTTCCTGTAGATAAAAAATTAAGCTCATATGACTCTAAATGCAGATAAGAAGCAGTTCTTGTTTAGGAATTTTTTTTTTTTCTGGTTTTAATCCAACTTTAGTAGTCAGTCACTGTTCATTTTGCTTAAAGATACCAAAGCAAGTTACTACCTGTTGGTGGAGAATACATCCTGTGAAATCCAGTTTGGCACACCGAGCGACAGAAGTGAGCAGGAACATGCTGGTACAACTTGTGGGTTATTTTGGAAGTACCTTGTTTTTCTTCTATTTTTTTTTTCATTTGTTGGAATGCAGCAGATAAAAGAGGATTATATACCTTTTCAATCTGTAACGTAAATAATAGTGTAGTGTAAGCAAACGGGGACTGGAATCGGTGAGTGCTCTTGTTCAGGCTGTGTTCTTCAACGTCACAGCCTCCGATTTAGCTGCTGCGCATTGACCACATAGAGGATAAGGTTTCTGGAGTGTGCAGCTGATCCACAGAAATAGAACCATGCCACTATCCCGTGCCTCATTGAAATTGGTGGGAATATCTCCCAGTGTGCTGATCTGCAGTACTCGAGTTGGGCTGAATGGATTGGGCATCAACCCTACGTGAGAATAAGCTGTGTGGGTGCCATCAGCCTCCTCTTGTAAAGAACTGCAGGCGACCGGTAAGGCCTGGAGAACCTCAGCTCTCGTTGATCAAAACTTTACAGGTCTCAGGCGGAAAAAGCTCCACAGATAAGAGGGCCTTTACGTCAGTTTGTGCCTTGAAAGCGTGGCTGCGTGCAGCTAACACCACACACCTTCAGGCAAACTGGCTACGCGGCAGCTCTTGCTGGCACAGCCGGCTCCACCAGTGGGCCAGACACAGTCCGATGGCAAAAGTCAGTGCCAGGGGCCTGCGAGGCCTCTCCTCTGGCAACCCGCTCACGCCAGACGTCCGACCGCTCAGCTAACAACAAGCAGGTGCTTCCCGACCACTCAGCTAACAACAAGCAGGTGCTGAAGCACGATCAAGCTTCTGCTCTCTCAAGTCATCTACCTGAGCTGTGACCGACCCTCAGTGCAGCACTGGTTTACATTCTGATGTAGCTTTTGTGTTGAGACTCAGCAAAGCCTTTAGCTCTGCAGATCAAGAAGCACTTGCTTTCATCTGGTTGGTATTTGCTACCCCTTCAGTGTTAAATACCCTTCTCACATATGAAAGGCAGTGGCAGGTAGCAGTCTGGTTTCCAGGTACCTGCTGTTACTACTGGGCACACAAACCCCAGAAGTTTACAAACTTCTGTGATTCTCTGTGTTGCACAGCCTCAT